GTTGCCCCATTCTCCTCTTCATCCCATCTTATATCTTCCGGACGAATCTGCAATTACATAAATAACTTCCTTAAGATTCTGCAGAATTAGAAACCGCTTACCAAGTACTTTCACTAATGAGAGCTGCCAAATACCCAAGAAACAGATATCTTTCACCACGACATTTTTAGCAGCATTTGCAAGAGAAACTTAATACCCTATTAATCATTAAAACTCGTAAAGACACTGAAGATTACCTCATTAAGATTAACCCATTCCCATGTTTCATTCGGGGTGTTTATATCATATACCAACGCGTGGCGACCCTGTGAGAAAACAATGAGTGCATCAATTACAAGATACTTGTGACATGTACCATTTTAATTACGCAAAGAAAAACAATAGACCATTCATCAAAAACCACACCACAGAGAGAGTGGATTAACCAGAGAGCGCCCAAACAAGGATCCTAGACCAATCCAGAATACCCGAACCTATTCTGCGTAAAATTCTTTTTTAACCTTTTAGCTCTCTAGCTAACCAACTCGGCTATATTTAACACAGTTACATTCCACTACAAACCATCTAGGGTAATTGCAATGCTCCTGCACTACTCTAACACAAGGCTTATCACACTAAATACTAAACAATAGGAGGAATTGCCACTCAGCAAAAATAGCAACACACGACTTAAATCTGAACTAAGCTGGCTAATTTTGACAACGCTTAGAGGCCTCTGTGCCAGATATTAAAATTATTCACGAGGAACACAATTAGTTAGCGGTAAGTTTGGAAAATGGAGGAATTTGACGTTTGAAGTACAGGAGACACCTCAAAACACATACATATATACTGTTGAACATAAGACTACATGTATCCTAAAAATTTTTGATCCGTCTCAATATAATGCTCTCAGCCATTATAAGTTACCTCAGCTGCATTGTATTGTGTAATTACTGCTTCATAAAAGTTGTTGTCTTCAGGCCATCGTGTCCTCACTTTTCTTCCAATAGCAGATTCAGCATGTTCATTTGCTGATACGGCACCAGATACTACACGGTTATTGAATGACCTATTTCTAGTAGAACCATTCGACGGATACTGCATGTGTATCACAAATAATTTGATCAGGAAATGACGCAAAACCATATCCAAAACACAGATACCATCTGCTTATTTTATGATGAAAGATCAAAACACCAGAAGACTTACAGATTGGAAAATCTTCTGTTTCTTCCGAGAAGCTGAAAAAGTCGGACTAGGAAGAACATCGAGTGACTGATTATTTCCATGTCTAACAACTTGGTTTCCGCCTCCCTGTCTCCAATCCCTGTTGGTCCAGTTCCATCATTACATCATCTTATTAGAAAGATAGTACACCAGAAGCACATGTAACATTAGATTTATAGTCGTAAAACCAGAATTTTTACCTTATCCGTTTGATAATATCGTCATTATGGACATTGTTCAAGAGCTCTCGGTGTTCATCGTCAGATACCCTCAATTCTCTACGTAGTTCTGTTATCATACTTTCCTTTTCCTACAAAATGCGAACATACAAACAAAATCCTTTGTTCAGGATATTTGACAATACGGTTGAAAATCGTTCCAAGGTAAAGGAGAAAAAAAGTTTTACCCAAGAAATTGCATCAGACTGCGCTTTAAAAGCACGTAATACAGCACAATAAGCTTCTTGCTCGAGTATATGAATCCGCGCTTCCATGTTTTCAATGCATACAAGTCTTCCCATCAAAATGAAACTGCTCCTTTTCAAGCCTTGCTCTGTAATGTACAAAACACTACTAAAGTCAGATACTTCACTAAAAAAGGAAAATTGAATAACTTTGATTCTTCTAACAGATCAAAACCTTAAACCCTAATCAAGAAGAACCAATTCTTAAAACCCTATTCGTGCTGAATCAATTATCAAACCCTAAAACTGCTAGATCTATCAATGAGCCAAAAAAAAGCTATTAGACGCTTTCAAAAGCAAAAAAATTCGTGTAAAGAGATTAACATACCGGCGTATACAGAGTCTTGTCGGAAAAAAAAACTCAAAGATTCAGATTACGCAATCGAAGAGAAAACAAAATTGACGACTCCAAACGCAGATGCAATCAAAGGGACGCGATGGGATCTCCGACGTGCGAGTGATGAACAGAGTGAAATCGTAGAGAAACCTAATGATAAATTGAGAAACAATTAGATAAAAAAAAAAGACAAAAACTTTTTTGCTTGATCTGTTCGCGCTCGATATAGATTGATCTTTTTAAAAAAGCGCAAGTGCAGTGTTGATAGTTGGGCTTGGTGGGCACAGGGAGCGATGAAGTGAGAGAAGATCGACGACGAGAAGAGTTTAGAGGAGAGAGAAAGTAGTTTGGTCGGAAGCGCTAGTTCGTTTTTAAAGACAATAACGAGTCGGTGCTCTATCTTAATTACTTTTGGGCCTTGTTTAGTTACATTTGGGCCTATAGTATGATAAAATACGCCTTATAGGCCCAACCTTTTAAATTTTTCATGATTCGATCTTAATGCCACCTTCAAGAATTATTTCAGGTAGAGTCTAGTATAAAAGTAAAAATTTGGACGTACTTACAAATATATTCAATTAAAACATTAATTTTGTTCGTTTGTTCTTGAATATATACAAACTTCGTTCTAACCTAATAATA